TTCGGTTATTCATATATTTTTTTTATTGATTTACTCCATTTGTTATATATATATTTTTTTCTAATTTATTTTTATTTAGAAATCCCGACTATTCCCGACGTCACACAAGCCCCGACGACGAACGACCCGCTTACTCCACGACCCGACGACCGATCCCGACAACCCGACATCCCTCCTCCCGACCGACGACAACCCGACATCCCTCCTCCGACAACCCGACACCGACCGACGCGAACCGACAACCCGACAACCCTCCTCCCGACATCCCTCCTCCCTCCTCCCGACCGACGACAACCCGACATCCCGACATCCCTCCTCCCGACCGACCGACAACCCGACATCCCGACAACCCGTCCCGACCGACAACCCGACATCCCTCCTCCCGACCGACCGACCGACATCCCTCCTCCGTCGACACGCCCGACCGACATCCTCCTCCCCGACCGACCGACAACCCGACATCCCTCCTCCTCCTCCCGACCGACCGACAACCCGACATCCCCTCCGACCGACCGACAACCCTCCTCCCGACCCGACAACCCGACAACCCTCCTCCCCCTCCCGACCGACCGACAACCCGACATCCCGACATCCCTCCTCCCGATGACAACCCGACTCCCGACTCCCTCCCGACCGACCGACAACCCACACCGACCGATCCCTCCTACCGACACCTCCTCCCTCTCCCGACGTCCCGACATCCGACCGACCGACATCCCGACATCCCTCCTCCTCCCTCCGACCGACCGACAACCGACATCCCTCCTCCCTCCTCCCGACGACCGCCTTCGCTCAGTATCACCCGCTTTCCCACAATGTTTCGTCGGTCGGATCCGCGCTGCATTTCGGGTCTCGGGCAATCGGATCGGCTCCCCTGCCGACTTCATTACGCTGTCACGACCGACATCCACCGATAGATTATGAGATTCGTGGTCGGTGCTTGTGTGGGAGTGAGGGGGGGGTGTCTTAGGGGGGAGGGTATGCTTGTGGATACGGGGGGGGGGGTATGCTTTTGAGGACCAGGGTATTCGTGTGTGTGTGTGTGTGTGTGTGTGTGTGTGTGTGTGTGTGTGTGTGTGTGTGTGTGTGTGTGTGTGTGTGTGTGTGTGTGTGCGCGCGCGTGTGCATGCATAGATACGCGTGCATACCCGCGTATCTATTGTGCGTATGAGTGTACATAACCGAGCATGTATGCCCATGTGTGCGTCTGTGTGCGTATGAGTGTATATAAGCCCATGTGTGCGTCTGTGTGCGCGCCCAAAGAACCTGGCCGATTCTCCCGCAACACACTTTGCAAGTCTATGAGCGCCCATACGTCATCGGCGCAACGAGAGTTATTGCAGTGGTGTTTCTGGGCGGCCAGGGACATGCCGGCCCCGACATGCAACGCTGAGCTTGATAGATTTAATGCCGTATGAAATATCTAATGTTGCATGTTCGTTCGCTCGAAATGGCCCTCTCGCCCCCGCCCCTCCCCCTCCCCCTCTCCTCTCTCTCCCCCCCCCCCTCGAGGTCTTTTTCCCCTGTGGTGATGGAGGTGATGAGGTTGTGTCACGGTGTGGTGATGTGCACGGGAGGTGGTGACAGTGATGACGTGACAGTGATGCGTGATGGTGTGTGGTGAAGGTTGATGATGATTTATGTTCATTCGAGGGATTGTCACACTAAAATAAACGTGACATTGTTTGTGCTATCGATCTATAAATGTCGTTGTATTTGAACTGTCATCCTTATCAATGAGTGTGTTATTTCTCTCTTTTATTACCTCTATTTCGCTCTTCCATTCATAATTTCTTTCTCTCTTTCTCTGTTTCTGTCCCTCTCCCTCTCTTTCTCTCCATTTACTTTCCTTCCTGTACATCTTATTCTCTTTCTATCCCTTTGCTTCTCTTTCTCTCCCTCTCCCTCTCTCCCTCTCAAATTATTTTCGTTTTCTTTCATATTCTTCCTTTTCTCTATTCTATTCTCTTCCAATAGATTACCTCACAGTCTTTCTCTCCAGACTCTCAAAAGACACTCCCCTCTTCCTCCTCTTCCTCTTCTTCCCCACTTATCTCCTCTCCTATTCTCTCCCTCTGCCTCTCTTCCTCCTTCGCCTTCTGTTCGTCCATCCACAAAGCTGAATGATCGTCTACATTAATATCTTTACTTCTCTTTCTTCTTCTTCTCTCTCTCTTTTCCCTTTCTATCTTTCTTTCTTCTTTTCTTTATATTTTTTTGGTCTCTTTACCTCTGTCTCTATCTCTCTTTCGCTCTCTCACTCCCCCCCTACTTTCCTACATCCCTTCCCTACTCTTCTCTCTCACCCCTTCATCCTCTTTCCCCCCTCCCACCCAGCATCCTCATCTCTCACCCTTTTCATCCTCACCTCTCCCTCTCCCACCTCTACATCCTCTCCCCCTCTCACTCATTTCCCTCTCCCACTCTCCATCCTCATCTCTCTCCCTTTTCATCCTCCGCCTCTCCCTCTCCCACCCAGCATCCTCCGACTCTCTCTCCCACCTCCTTCATCCTCTCTCCCTCTCCCACTCAGCATCCTCATCTCTTATCCTTCTCATCCTCTCCTCCGCCTCTTCCTTCATCCTCTCACCCTCTCTCTCCTCTCCCTCTCCCAGCCAGCATCCTCATCTCTTATCCTTCTCATCCTCATCCTTCGCCTCTCTCTCCCACCCCCTTCATCCTCTCCCCCTCTCTCTCCTCTCCCACCCAGCATCCTCATCTCCTCATCCCGCGCCTCCACCTCCGCGCCCAGCCTCTCCCATCAGCCCCAAGAATCACTCAGGTCCTCCGATTGTCCGAGTCGGTTAACAAGCACAACTAATTTGCATATTAACTATAGAACCACCTCGTTAAAAGCCCACCCCCGCGCAACGACCCAGCGCAACCGGCGGAGTTATTGTCCATTAAGGATTGTTATTGTCGTCCATTGTTGCTGATTGATCTATCTACCTATTTGATTTCGTACGAGGCCGTGGGATGATACGCGCAGTCATTAAGGGTTTATACGTTCGTTGTAGCGGGGTCGCGGAGGTTATCTGATCCAACCATTAGCGGGAGTTTTGAGTCCGAATTCTTGGACGCGGCTTGAGCGTCGGCTTCGTGAAACGGGATTGGTCGCCGATTTCCCTTTTCTCTTGGGCGCCTTTTGGCCCTTGCTGCTTGGGTCTATTTCTTTTGCTTTGGGCTATGTGGTTTGCTGTTGTTTTTGCAATATGTACATATATGTGAATACGTATAAATGCACACACACACACACACACACACACACACACACACACACACACACACACACACACACACACACACACACACACACACACACACATATATATATATATATATATATATATATATATATATATATATATAGGTTGAGAGTATGCTTTATATATATATAAAGCATACTCTCAACCTCTATTATCCTCTCAAATAAATCATAACAAGAATATCCGGGAATTGAAGCTCAAACAACCTCCGCCAGCTTATTAAATAAAAAGTCCCCACTCCTAAATTTCAAGACAATGAGGCAATCGATCACACGGCCGAGCATAAGGTAATTCAACATTCAACACATCCTCCCCCTTGCCGCCCTGCCCCCCCCCCTTACTCCCTCCCTTCACCCCTCCCCCCACCCCCACCCCTATCCAAACCGCTCAACATCACAATTCATTCATAAAAAAAAACCCGCACCTATGCTAACACACATCGCTACATCAATTCCATTATAACCCACAAAGCACGGGTTTGTGAAGGCATCATTACAAGAAATTAAGTATTCTTCCGCGGGCGCAGGACCCATGTACGGACAAGCAACGCACAACAGAAAACGAGGAGACACGGCGCGCCACAATAGAAAACGAAGCGAGGGTACCCGGCCCGACACGCACCGCCGCCGCGCATGCGTGGTTCAAACCCCTACCGTGGTGTAAATTAATTACTGTGTCTTCGAGGTGATAGCGTCTGCTGGGGGGGGGGGGGGGGGGGGGGGGGGTTGGCGAGGCTGGGAGAAGGATCTGCTGTGTTGTTGGTTATGATTAGGAGGGAAGGGGTTGAAATATGCGGGGGCATTGCGTCGGCTCTTCCGAGAAAGGATATTGAAGGAAGGAATTGCTTGTGTGTGTCATTTGAAACTAGTAATAAATAAACAAATATATTATATTAAAAAATGCGATATTAATAAGTAAGAAATTATATATATAGGAAATTATATATAAGTTATCAAAATAAATAAATAAATACACAAAATGCTCTTCGCGTTTTTTCCTACCCTGTAATTGTGTACACTATTTCTGGTTGACTGACTTGAACGCGCATGGTTGTTTTGCAAGATCTTTACATGTTGTCCACTGGTTGGCTTGCAATGACGAATGGGGCTCTTTAATGGAAAAGCAGTGGGATGGATTGCAAAGCCGTGAGTGTTTTTATTTCTTTAGTTTTTTGTGTATTATTATGATTTCATGGGCATGGGGGTGTGATGTTAGTGCAGCCTTCTCTCAGCCTAAAAGTGTATCTATCTATCTATCTATACATACATACATAAAAATCTATCTATCTATCTATCTATCTATCTATCTATCTATCTATCTATCTATCTATCTATCTATCTATCTATCTATCTATCTATCTATCTATCTATCTCTATCTATCTATTTATCTATCTATCTATCTATTTGCGTATGTTTATAAGAACTCAAGCATATAAACTCCTATACAGATGCGCTTCACTTGCCTTGTAAATTATGTGCATTTACATACTTGAAGACTGAAGACCTACAAAGCACCTTCCTTTCCCCCCCCCCCCTCCCCCCCCTCCCTTTCCTGGCAACATAGGTACACACAGAGCACCCGCTTTCAACCTACACCCACATTACCCTTTATCCAAACAAAAAAAAGTAAACAAACACACACACAAAAACATAAACAATAAAATGAGACACACACATAAAAAAAGAAAAATCAACAACAACAAAGACAAAGAAAAAAAGCGAAACTATACTCACAAAGCCGTGTTTGTCGGAAATATTATTCGTAAGTTTTAGCTTGTGAAAGGATACAACTTTTTGCATCCACTGTTCACCCGTCGCTGGGCTGTCTGGGTGAATGTACATCCGTTTGGGCATCTCGGGGTCGGCTTTGCCAGCAACCATCCACCTGCTATGAGGGAAAAGGAGGTCGAGTATAAGTGTATGAGGGAGGAAAGATGATTATATTGAGTGAGAAAAAAAATATATATATTTTGATTTTTTTTTTTTTTTTTTTTATATTTTTGGGGTATGTTCTGGCTTGGGATGTGGGTATCAATTCTTGTGAATCTTTTTTTTCTTACTTCTTCAAAATCAATATACAATTTTCATCAAAGAAGCATGGAATGAATTAAAAAAAAAAAGTGAAAGAAAAAAAGTCCAGTAAATTGAAAATAATACAGACAAATAAAGTTTTACATAACTGGTGGTATTACTCTGAAAAAATTAACCACTTCCTGCTATCAAATTATTAACTTTTATGAATGATTTCATTAAGGAAGCTTATTTGTCATGAAATATACAGCATGATACAGTAAGCATGGCATGAAAAGTAATCCTAGCGTAAATACTGATTAAGCATGATATACATATATATTACAATTTCAAACGTGCAATCAACATTCCATTTTTTATTTCTATCTTATTAAGAAGATATATTGCTGGTCAAGATACTTATATCAGTTTCTATATTGATGGGACCTACACAAAATTCTTCTATATCCAGAATTATCTTTATATTTAGGCACAAAAAGGTTACTCTATATCCAGAATTATTGTATAAAAGACGTTTCTTTATATCTAGGCACGCAAAATTCTTCTATATCCAGAATTATCTTTATATTTAGGCACACTGTTTAAAACATTTCTTTACATGTGGTAACACTTTTCTTTATATCTGAGAACAGTGTTTCACTATGAATATCTAATGAAAATTACCAAAATATGGATAATATCTCTTACATTCCAAATAAACATGAATCTCATAGAACTGTTGCATGAAAATTATATTTAATTAACGGAAAAAATAAACATATTTTTCAAGATCAACTGACTCTCCTAAAAATATTAAAAAACTGCCAAGTATCTAGATATATTGACATAAAACTACTCATCATTTTTGTGCATTCTAAACATAATGGCAAATACACACAAGTGAAACCTATTTTTAAGCATTAGTTTTTCTACTATATACAGTTACATCTATTCCCTTTATATTAAGCATTTTTTTGACGACTGAGCAGTAAACAAAATAGTAATTATATATCGTGAATCATTACTATCTTTATTATAGTCGTTGCTGTTGATATCATTATTATCATACATTTATCATCATTCGCAATGTTATATTCTTACGTATCTAAAAACTTTAAATCCCTGTCTTAAAAAGTGAGATATTTCTGATGAATTTGATAAAATGAATACCAGTTATAACGGAATGATATATGGATAATAAATACGATTAAAACATTTTTTTTCAATAAATACAAAAAGAATACATTTTGTTTACTTCCTTTAGCAAAGACTCAAGCTATTTTCTATATTGAAATGTTGATTGCATTTTATCATAAATCATGAATTTTTATCAAACAATTATAACAAATTGAAAACTATCTGCTAATTAGCACTGACTATCAAACACTATTTATACAGATAGTTCTTAATTCAATTCCTTATAAGATAAAAATGGAAGGAGAGGGAAAGAGAGAGAAAGAGACAGGAAAAAAGAATCTTCCAATAAAAAAGGGGATATAAAATACAAATGAACAAATGAAAAAAAAATAAATTAAAGGAGATTGTGTTAAGTTCTATAAGACTACTTTGGGCTAACAACCTTGAATCCGGCACATGCAAGAGAAAAAAAGGGGACAGAATTCGAATAAATACAATGCAGGAAATAAATAATAATCAAAAATAGGGGTGGATAAAACATGCAAACAAGTCTCTGGTTAAGTCAGGTCAGGTCAGAAAATCATTGACCAGTCTCATGGCGTAGGTTCTGTTGCATCAGCATGGTCATTATCATTTCAATCCTTTTATTGATCTATTTTTATTATTAATTTATTCCTTATTTGATCGTTGAGGTTGTAAAGGGATTCTTTCTTTTTTCATTCTCCTGATGGGAGGTTAGGGTGGATGCGGGAGGAGGGGAGGGGGTTATGGGGAAGGGGGGGAGGAGGCGAGATGCGCTGATGATGGGGAAGGGGGTTAGGACAGAGGGCAAGGGGTGGGGGGAAGGGGTAGAGGGAATGTGTCATGACAGAGTTCTGTTACAGCTCATTGAATATTCCTATCATACAGAATAAAAAAATCAATTTTAGAGTATTATTTTTAAGAAAAAATCTCAAATTACAGTATTTCTTTTAAATTCTAATCTTCCACTGTTTGTATAATCTTTTATCATATTTCATTCTTTCTTTCATGATTGATATCTATTGCCATCAACTTCTACCATCTCTTTATCAGTGTAGTGAGCAGAACTCTATCAAAACTCTATCTAGAGTCGCGCTATATTTTCGTCGCAGGTCAGTTTATCATTATAAGCTTTGACGCTCTTCGTAGTCCCCAGTAAAGACCTTGCATACTCTATCAAATGTAACAACTTTTGGCCAAGAGTACAAAGGGCTGAGTAGTACAGGCATAGGAAAAAAATCTAATCATTGGTTCTGTGCACTGAAGCGAGGGAGGGGAGGGGGTAGGGGATATATAGGAGGGTATGAGGGGAGGGGAGGGGGGGGGGTTCTAATACCAATCTTTGAGGTCGGGAGGTGGGGGGGGGGGGGGTAATATGTATACAAAAGTTTGTGCTATAACTAAAGTTTGAGAATTCTAGAGAGACGGTTTTTGAACTCGAGGTTATATATATATATATATATATTGTAAGGGGGCTTTACAAATATTTCTTCTGCATGTATGTACAAAATTAGCAAAGTCTCGAAATTTTGATGATATACACACAATCACTCTTCTATAAGGGTTTCTATGACGGAAGGGTCATATAGAGGTTGGCTGTGTACTATATATATATGATATGAAGCCCTCCAATCAATCAAAACTGGGGTTTTCTATAATAGTGGATTAACCTGGGGTTGTCTATAACAATACCTGTTGTGAAATTTATAGCGGCAATCATCAGCTGACACGATGTCCATAAGTAAGATGTATTTTGCTTTTTTGTCAAGGCCAGAGACACGGACCTTGTAGGCAGGGAACATACGTCTGCAAGAATAACAACAGACTTTGATAGAATACATGACAGATATGAAAATAAATATAGGGGTTACCAAAGCGGGGAAATAAAGACGACAAAAAAAAAAAAAAAAAAAAAAAAAAATCGGTGGAGGCGAAAGAGGAAATCATCAAGTCATCAGCGCCAAAAGGTAAATAAAAGAGAGAAAAAAGAAAAGAAAAAAGGAATGCGCAGCGGGAAACAAAAGAAAGTCGGGAAGCCGGAGATGCCACACCCAAGGAAGGCATAACCATAATAAATATAAAAAATAAATGAAGAAAAGAGAGAGAAAGGCAGATAGATAAAGAGAGAGAACAGAGAAATGGTCGTCTGGGCAAACATAAAAGTTAAAAAAGAAAGAAAGTGGTTTTGTGTAGCTGAAATTGGGTAGACTCGGATACCTGTTATGGAACTTATATCTACAGTCGTCTGCCGCTACGATGTCTAGTAGAAGGATGTACTTGGCTTTGGGGTCTAGCCCTGACACTCGAAACTTCATCTGAGGAAACATTTGC